CATCAGTAGCCAGGTACTTCAACGTGAGGCACAGTACCATCTACCGTCGACTGTGGCAGCGCTACAGACTCCACAACTCTGCAAGTGATCGACCGAGAACTGGTAGACCAAGGGTCACAACTCTGGCGCAGGACCACTTCATCCGGGTGTTGCATCTGCGCAACCGGACAATCAGTGCACCGTACACAGCCAACAATGTTCCTGGGCTTCGTAGAGTATCAGCGCAAACCATCAGAAATCGCCTACGATAGCATGGGATACACCAATGCAACCATATACAGCGCCTGTTTTGCGGCATCATTATCGTCGTGCACGTCTGCAATGGAGCAGAAACGTTCGACCATGGACCCTAGTGCACTGGAGGAGGTTCTGGTTTAGTGATGAGTCACGGTTCTTGCTGTATCGCCATGATGGTAGGAAGCGTGTCTACAAATGGAGAAATGAACGCTACACTCGACACTGTATTCGTGAAGTCGATAGATACGGCGGTAAAAGTGTCATGATGTGGGCGGGCATATCCTTCAAAGGTAGGACAGATCTGGTGCCCGTGCAGGGAAATGTAACTGCTGTACGCTACCGTGATGAAATCCTCCAACGTCACCTTATTCTCGCCACTGACGCCAGAAGAGAGATTTTCCAGCAAAACAACGCCAGAGCGCATACTGCATGTGTTACCATGGATTATCTTGCCAACAACAATGTTAATGTGCTGCCATGGCCATCCAAATCGCCGGATCTCAACCCCATTGAACATTTGTGGGATCTGCTAGACAGACGTGTACGATGCCGACAGCCTCAACCACAAACGCTACAACAGCTGAGCCATGCATTGCAGGATAAGTGGAGAAGGATTCCACAACGCCAGATTCGACGACTCATTCAGTCCATGCCCAGGCGGGGCACAGCAGTGATCGATGCTCGTGGTGGTCACACCAGGTACTGACTTTGTCACAGTGCCGTCACAGACACAGATGTCCCCTTGAGCATTACATGACTGCATGTAGTAGAGGAAACATGTGTCTAACCCAGTGCACAATTTGGTTGTTGTACATTCTTTATTTATTGGGTAATCCGATTTTATAAAACACGTAAAGGTAAAGTTATATTTTGGTTATGCGTTTCTTTTTTTGGCCAGTATATGTAAGGTGACTGGGAAGAGGAAGTCCGCTGGACCTGCCAGTGCAATGGAACTAAGAATAATGCGGGTGACACCTTGTAGAACGATACCCATTCGCCATGAAGAGTTTGGTGTAATTGCTGCAGTTGCTGTGGTTCTGAATGTCATTTACGTTTGGTAGCATCTTCCTGCAGCTGCTCAGTCGGTCTCAATATCCTGGCGACCTCGATCTTTTTTCTCAGCTGTATGAGGACGGGAATTGCCATGCTGGTGAAACTGAGCTCTGTGCCTCCATAACGCACATCTGTTGAGCTATTTTGGATATAAATAAAATCTGTTTTTAAACCAAATCTGGTGACTTGTGCGCAACATTTTGTCCAAAGCTCTTTCCGTCGCCGACACGCACGGATCTTCTCATCTCACTTATGAAGAGGAAATGGAGTATTCGTTCAACAGGACGCTGCACCAACGTTGAGGAAGTAGATAAAGTTGAGGATGAAAACCCCAACCAATGCAGGGTTTTTTTGGTCCGAAATCCGGTTGCTCATAAACGGATACGGACAGTCTGTGCATAAATGGGACATACACAAAACATTTGCGTTGACCTTTTACGCACTAAACTAAGCTAACGCACTGAACTGATCCACTCAGCTGCACTGACGCACTGAACTGACACAGTCAGCTTAACTGACGCACAGAGCAGACGCACCGAACTGAACTGACACAATAAGCTGCATTGACGCCCTGAGCTGACATGGTGAGATTAAGTGACGCACTGAACTGAACTGAAACACTGAGCTGCATTGACGCACTGTACTGACATGGTCAAATTAAGTAACGCATTGAACTGACATGATCAGATTAAGTGACGCACTGAACTGAACTGACACAATGAGCTGCACTGACGCACTGAATTGACATGGTCCGATTAAGTGACGCACTGAACTGACATAGTCAGATTAAGTGACGCACTGAACTGAACTGACACAATGAGCTGCACTGACGCACTGAACTGACATGGTCAGATTAAGTGACGCACTGAACTGACATAGTCAGATTAAGTGACGCACTGAACTGAACTGACACACTGAGCTGCATTGATGCACTAAACTGACATGGTCAGATTAAGTGACGCACTGAACTGACACAGTCAGCTTAACTGACGCATAGAGCAGACGCACCGAACTGAACTGACACAATGAGCTGCATTGACGCCCTGCGCTGACATGGTCAGCTTAAATGACGCACTGAACTAAACTGACGCATTGAGCTGACGCCCTGAGCTGCACCTACAATGACGCACTGAGTTGCACTGACCTGACGCACAGAACAGACTCACTGAGCTTGACTGTCGTGGTGAACAGAACTGACGCACAAAACTAATCTGACGCATTAAACTGAAATGACGCACTGACTTACAATACAATACAGGGCTTGTAAACTGGTGAAGGAAGTACTGACTCTAGGAGAACAAACTGAAATGACGCACTGACTTACAATACAATACAGGGCTTGTAAACTGGTGAAGGAAGTACTGACTCTAGGAGAACAAACTGAAATGACGCACTGACTTACAATACAATATAGGGCTTGTAAACTGGTGAAGGAAGTACTGACTCTAGGAGAACAAACTGAAATGACGCACTGACTTACAATACAATACAGGGCTTGTAAACTGGTGAAGGAAGTACTGACTCTAGGAGAACAAACTGAAATGACGCACTGACTTACAATACAATATAGGGCTTGTAAACTGGTGAAGGAAGTACTGACTCTAGGAGAACAAACTGAAATGATGCACTGACTTACAATACAATATAGGGCTTGTAAACTGGTGAAGGAAGTACTGACTCTAGGAGAACAAACTGAAATGACTGACTGACTTCTAGGACAATACAATATAGGGCTTGTAAACTGGTGAAGGAAGTACTGACTCTAGGAGAACAAACTGAAATGACTGCACTGACTTACAATACAATATAGGGCTTGTAAACTGGTGAAGGAAGTACTGACTCTAGGAGAACAAACTGAAAATCATTTTTCTTTTAAAAAGAAATGAATAAGGCTCAATGTGCGGGTTTAAAAGTGACCGGAAAATGTGATTAACATCATAGTAACACTGATTCTTCATCGTGGAAGTTGATTTAAAGCTTAGTATAACAAAGTCGGATCAAACTTTTGGAATAACTAGCAGACAGTTAAAAATTTGTAGATTAAAAAGGATGATATGAATAGTAATTATATAACCTACAATTATGTATAGTTTTTATCAAAAAGGTAAAAGGTACTAAAAGACATATTATAATCGTTAGGGGCAGACTAGAAGACTGAAAATAATCAAATTCCGTATCCAAGCAAAACATTTTATTCCCTGGAAGGAGCCGCACCATCTCCACATATTGACGATTAACACACAAAGAAATTAAGTTACCAAATTAACAATATAGGGATCTTTTTTAAATTGCTATGAGGCATATGAAACTGGTCATCAGTTTAGCGAAGAGTGTCGTGCGACATCACGCATAAAACAAAACTATCAAAACGCAATAATCTGTACGTGCAAATACACAACAATACGGTGTTTATATATAGAAGGGGACATTAGTAAAGGAGAAATCGATACTGATCTGTTTATTCATCCGAGTGATCCGTCTTGTCGCAACAACTGGTTCAATTACAGCCAGGCGGCCAATACGTTTCTCATTATCATACACAATGTCTGGCCTCCAGGGATCGATGGATGATAAGGTCAAAACGTTGTGTCGGAAGAGCAAGATGTTAGAAGAAGTTTAACAGAAAACACTTTTGAAAACTTTCTTGAACTTTTGGGAAATTTATTTACAAACATAACTATCATTCATTTTTCGCGTCTGTTTTGATGGCACCATTGAGGGTGCAGTATTAACTGATCAAATGGCTAACAGGTCATGTTAACTATCAAGATTTCATAGAACAGCCAACAATAACCAACCCATCCTTCCATCAAGGCACAGGACAAAAGTTCGATGTGTGTAAATATAACATGAATTGAATAATTTTGAAGGCTTACTGAGAAAGTCGGTATCATTATCCTGCCTTAGCGTTAAGGGAAATTAGGACTGGTCTGGTGTCAGTATAATGTGTCTGGGTGGGTGTCTACTGTCAGAGTTGACTAGCACCATAAAACCGCCCTTCATGTAAGTCTAAATTACCACAAGCAGTCACACATGTGTGCATGAAACCCGTCACGATCTTCAGCAACCCAAGCTTCTCGTAAGAGGCTACTAACGGGGTCGGGTGGTCAGGCTCGCTGACTTGGTTGACATGTCATCGTATCCCAAATGCGTAGATTGATGCTCATACAGTTGATCACTGGATTGTCTGGTCCGCACTCGATTGGTTACTGACCGTCGCCCTATAGCCGGAATAGTGCTGAGTGCGGTGTTTAAGAACAAACCAACCAACCAATCCCCATCACCTCGGGATCACTGCATGATGTTGATCACTGGAATGTCTGGTCCAGACTCGATTATTTACAGACCGCCGCCGTTTAACTGAAAAAAAGCTGACTGCGGCGTTAAACAACAAACAAAACATGTGCACGAACGCTGACACAATATTCACGTGGTAATTTTGCATGCAAAATACCATCCGGGTTTTCAAAAATATACTGTCTCTATCACGCAGGATGGAATGAACCCAAGTCTATATCTTCAGCATCTCCTCGTTGGGAGGAGACCCGTGAGGATGCAGGTTAGAATTGGTCTTCAGTAACCCATGCTTGTCGCACGAGGCGACTAACGGGATCGGGTGTTTGTTTCATTGTAAGTTTTAACAATATTTGGAATATTTCATGAAACGCAAACTGCCATCCTTTATGAACAAGGGACGTTCAAACACATAATACATATACATAGTTTATTCAAAAAAGAGTAATAGATAAAACTTTGACAAAGGGAAAGTCGAGATTAAAATACGACGAAAATATGACATTATACACCTCCAAGATGATTACATGACAAGAAACCTCCAGAATTGACTTCGAAATTAACATAAACTTCGTCAACACCCCCAACCACCCCCCACACCCCCGTGTACAAAGGGAGGTGACTCTTCCACCACAAAGATCCTTTATGACCGTAAACAGATCGTGCTTTTTTGAAACTGGCCATACATATTCAAATTACAAAAATCAGCGTTCCGTATGCACAAGAAAAATACAATACACGGTATTTATGATGTCTTCAAGGCTTCTTGACAAGCGTGTCTCGGGGAGGTCTTCCGATTGAAGGCGGAGAAGAGTGGACTGAAAAAGATAAAACATAATTTTAATATTGTAAAACGACATTTGAATTATATGTTTAGGTCTCCTCGATGATACCAGTCGGGAGTTCATTTCAATGAAGAGCAAGAGTAGCTGCATGAGTTTCGTCCCTTAGGCACGCCAGAAACCTATGATTGTTGGTTCGAATTCCGTTTCAGTCCGATTCATCAGTTCCATACCTACTCCCGTGGAATTCGCCGAAGTCGTGAACGTCTAAGACTTGCGTTACTTCGGGCTTTCCTCCCACATTTAGCTGACATACCGACATATACATGTACCTAGAATACGGTTGAAATCTGCGTTAAACGCCACCCACGCATCACTAGTGGCGCGGCGGCGGGGTAGCCTAGTGGTTAAACAGTTCGCTCCTCACGCCAGACCCGGGTTCCATTCCCGACATGGGTACAATGTGTGAAGCCCATTTCTGTCCCCCGGCGTGATATTGCTAAAAGCGGCGTAATACTAAACTCACTCACCCATCATTAGTTTTATGAATGAATGAGTGTGATTTTACGTGAGTACGAACGATGAGTGAATTGGATTTTACGCGGTTTTAGCAATATTGGACAATATCACGACGGAGGACATCAGAGTTGTGTTTCACACATTGTACCTTCGTGGGGAATAGAGCCCGGGCTTTTGGCGCGACGAGCGAGCACCTTAACAACGAGGCCAAAGTACGAGCGGTATGCCTGCTTGTAAGCTTGGGAGGTAAGATCAAGCTGATGGTAACACATTAACCACTTTGTTGAATCCCGATAAAGACGGGCATGATGCTGACAATTCAAGAAACAAACCCCGAGCCATCCGGGATTCGACCCCGCCCTCTTAAGTTTCACGGGATGCAAATAGGGACAACAGTGCCCCCACGTTGTGTTTTAAGCCCCTATCAACAGCAGCTCAGTCATCCCATCCCATCCCGTATTATAAGCAATACGCCTGGCAGGAAGAGCCCTAGTAATATTGAATTACTGCACAAAAGTTTAAAAACCAGTTGCTAGCTTCTACGCTTGGTCTAAATGAGTTTCAATTTCAGTTCTCGTAACTCATAACCGTCAAACGCAATTCAGCCCGCGACGTTTATAATTTCCGGGTTTTCTATCGCATTCACATATTTCATAATGCCAGAATATAGAACATGACTGGTCTTTCCTGCATGGTACAGCGTTAATGCAAGAGCTGACATTTCCTTGGAAATGGTGGCGTCTGTGTCTACACCGCAGGCGACTGGATTTCAATATCATAAGGCTTAGTATTCTTTTTGGAAATATTTTTTCCAAACGGCTCCGTCTCTCCATCAATACCTTCATGTTATTGCTGATCAGGTACAGCCAGAGTGAGCAATGTGTTAGTCCGGGCCGTTAAGTGAGGATCGACAGTGTTGTTCTTGATCGGCTAAGTTATTATTATTTTACAGATTAAAATACATAAATGCAGCGAGGACATTTTGGGTGATCCTGGCACAGTAAGGCTGGTTTGGCTTCTCATCAACTCATATGTGTGTAAATATAACATGAATGGAATAATTTTTAAGGTTTACTGAGAAAGTCGGTATCGCTATCCTGTCTTAGCGTTAAATGAAATAAGGACTGGCCCTGCATGTTGACAGGCGCCATGCAAGCAAGTCTAAATTACCACAAGCAGTCACACATGTGTGCATGAAATCCGTGAAGATCCGGGTTAGAATTGATCTTCAGTAACCCATGCTTGTCGTAAGAGGTGACTAACGGGGTCGCGTGGTCAGGCTCGCTGACTGGGTTGACACGTGTAATCGTATCCCAATGCGTAGATTGATGCTCATTCAGTTGATCACTGGATTGTCTGGTCCGCACTCGATTGGTTACTGACCGTCGCCCTATAGCTAGAATATTGCTGAGTGCGAACAAACCAACCAACCAGTCCTCATCACCTCGGGATCACTGCGCCTTCACATGCAGCCAAAACAGCTAATGGGACTTCACCCAGGAACTCCCCAACACTGCAGCCCTCTGCATCTCCCAGACAGTCATAAAGGGCCGTATGTGGTCATCGGCTAACCCGGACACTCTTTTAGTCATTTAGCAAATCTGGAGATTCCAAACCTAAGGCACCAAGAACAATGGAGAGTAGAACAATTTGGTACTTTGGATGCAAGCATATATATGCAAGACATATTTGCCCTGTTTCTCCTGAATCGTGTCAATCATATTTTTGTCAAAAGGGACAGAATATAGTTAAGCTGTAAATATTGATAATGACAATATCAAAACAGTTGCGTTTACTGCCACTTTGTTGACGAATACATGTGTACACAATTGATGACCCCCCTACTAGCTCCCCAGGACAAAATGGGTGACCCCCAAAAAAATCATCATCATCATCACATCACACTCACGCACGCACACACACACACACACCAGCCATAACTTATGAACGGACAACTCTGGTTGTTTCTAATGTACTGTGATACTACTTGGAATGACGGACAATCTTATCTTATCAGAGGACAATCGTTTTACAATACTTCATCCCCATGTGATTGCACTGTGGTAACACTATTAGCTATCAACCATAATGTTAGCCCATTTCTTCAAAATCTATTGAAATTTCCTATTTCTATTAAAAACAAGAGAATTTAAACAGACCATTTTAATTAGAAACTTGGTGATAAGTGATTGATTGATTGTTGTTTAACGCCGCACTCATCAATATTCCATCCATATGGCGTCTGTCTGTAAACAATCGAGTCTGAACCAGACAATCCAGTGATCAATGGCATGAAAATCGATCTACGCAACTGGGAAACGATGACATGTGTCAATCAAGTCAGTGAGCCTGACCACCCGATCCCGCTAGTCGCCTCTTACGACAAGCATGGGTTACTGAAGACCAATTCTAACCCGGATCTTTACTGGTCTGGTGATATGTATTCTATGACTAGAGGCTGGGTGAGTATGGTTAACCGCCCCTACGAACACAAGCTTTATTAGCCGGTGTATTATAAGTATAATATGTCGTGAAAAACATCCGGGGCTCATTCGACACCATATACTTTCGAGATACTTTTTTGAGAAAGGTTCCGACGACACGACTATGAAAATTATTGTAGCCATCATATCAGTTACTGTCATTCGCTATTGAAATCCTGACAGCGGAAACCTTTGGCCATGCTGCGTACAGCGAATGAAACATATACATATTGCTGGACAATTGTCATAATAAGAAAACAGAATACTACCTCAATATGGATGGCTTGCACCGACAATTTCACCCACCCATCTAAGAGGCACAGATGCCGTGAGGTTCCCCGTCCCCCCAAAAGAGCGACCAACATTTCCATGTTGAGAGTTTGAACATATATCAATCACCTGAAATGTTCACTTATATAAACTGTCCCTACAGAGCACATGCTAATTAACTAACGTATATTTAAAGAGTGAGTATACAGTACATATGCTAATCTTTAGGGATGTTTTGTCGAGCATATACAGAATGAATATTTACGGGTGTATAATTATTGGCACAGTATTGTGCACATGCTAATGTTTAATGGTGTATATTTAGAGTGAGTGAGTTTAGTTTTACGCCGCTATTAGCAATATCACGGCGGGGGACACCAGAAATGGGCTTCACACATTGTACCCATGTGAGGAATCGAACCCGGGTCTTCAGCGTGACGAGCGAACGTTTTAACCACTAGGCTACCCCACCGCCCCCGTATATTTAAAGAGTATTGTGCACATGCTAATGTTTAATGGTGTATATTTAGAGAGTATTGTGCACATGCTAATGTTTAAGGGTGTATATTTAGAGAGTATTGTGCACATGCTAATGTTTAAGGGCGTATATTTAGAGAGTATTGTGCACATGCTAATGTTTAAGGGTGTATATTTAGAGAGTATTGTGCATGCTAACTAATGTTTAACATGCTAATGTTTAAGGTATGTTAGAGTGTATATTTAGAGAGTAGTGTATTGCACATGCTAATGTTAAAGTGCACATGTATATTTATATTTAGAGAGCATTGTATAATGTTAGGGTGTATAGAGAGGAGTATTGTGCACATGCTAATGTTTAAGGGCGTATATTTAGAGAGTATTGTGCACATGCTAATGTTTAAAGGGTGTATATTTAGAGTAGTGTGCACATGCTAATGTTTAAGGGTGTATATTTAGACATGCTAATGTTTAAGGATGTATATTTAGAGAGTATTGTGCACATGCTAATGTTTAAGGGTGTATATTTAGAGAGTATTGTGCACATGCTAATGTTTAAGGGTGTATATTTAGAGAGTATTGTGCACATGCTAATGTTTAAGGGTGTATATTTAGAGAGTATTGTGCACATGCTAATGTTTAAGGGCGTATATTTAGAGAGTATTGTATTGTGCACATGCTAATGTTTAAGGGTGTATATTTAGAGAGTAGTGTGCACATGCTAATGTTTAAGGGTGTATATTTAGAGAGTAGTGTGCACATGCTAATGTTTAAGAGTGTATATTTAGAGAGTAGTGTGCACATGCTAATGTTTAAGAGTGTATACTTACAGAGAGAGAGTATTGTGCACATGCTAATGTTTAAGGGTGTATATTTAGAGAGTAGTGTGCACATGCTAATGTTTAAGAGTATACACTTACACAGAGAGAGTTTTGTGCACGTGCTAATGTTTACAGGTGAATATCTAGAGAGAGTGTAAACGTGCCTAGATATTTCATATTTGGGACCATTTAATCAATCAATACAAACAAATCAAACAATTTTACACATCACGTTGTAGTAGCATTTGTCTTCTTAATTTGAGTCTTCTTTCATTATTTTCAGGAGAAAAATTCGTTTTAAAAATTACACCCCAAACGACCCTCCCGTACCCCAACCCTTACAGAATATTAAATCACCGGTCCCATAGAGTAATATAAACGAATCTATTGAAATGCAGTTACAAGAGACACTTACTTGGTCGCAGAGCCAGTGGTGTTGATGGCACTGAACCTAAATATAACGATTTGACTTATTGTTATTTTAAAATGATATTCACTGCAAATTATGCAACAGTATATGACAAACAATAACGGGATGTATAGGACATATTGTTCAATCATAATTTTACAACTATAGTATTGAATGGTACTTTTACTTTAAACAGACATGCACATTAGCAAGCAATGCGTGAGTACAGTATATAGTAACTTCAAAACTACTAATCACGCAGTAACGGTGACGCTTATTGAATACATTTTCAGTGAATCTTCATTCTTACAAATGTGCAGTCGTCAATCAAGATTCACGAGATACCTTCTGATTCAAGAAACAAAACTGTATTAACTCAATACTGTGTAGGCATTGTCATTATTGTTATAAAACATGAATCAATCCACAAAGAGAGTGAGTGAGTGAGTGAGCGAGTGAAGTGAGTTTTATGCCGCTTTTTGATATATTCCAGCAATATCACGGCGGGGGACACCAGAAATGGGCTTCACACATTGTACCCATGTGGGGAATCGAACCCGGATCTTCGGCGTGACGAGCGAACGCTTTAACCAATAGGCTTCCCCCACCGCTCCCAATCTGGAAAGATTGAAGTGATGTGGGTGAGTGGCGTTGAGTGAACACTTTAACCAATAGAGTGAAATGGATTTTACGCCGCTTTTAGCAATATTCCAGCAATATCACGGCTGGGGACACTAGAAATGGGCTTCACACATTGTACCCATGTGGGGAATCGAACCCAGGTCTTCGGCGTGACGAAAGAACGCTTTAACCAAAAGGCTACCCATCGCCCCTTAGAGAGAGAGAATGCTGTTTGATGGCCATTACGTCAGGACAGCCTGTTCAGGTCAAGGGATTCAAGATAGAATTTTCGGCGACATTTCCATTTTTGTTACTCACCATAGTACTCATCCATTTCGTTTGTTTGTGGCGGTGGAGTCAACTTGACCTTGACCTGATATAGCTGAATACAGACAAAGACTGGCCTTGACAGGTCAAGGCCGTGTACAGCGGCACTCTTCTTGACAGTCATGACCCTGTAGGTCACGCGTCCGTCGCCCTTGATCTGCAGCTTTACATCGAGGTCTGCATCAACATCAATACTGAACAACGGGAAGAGCCTACCTGTGGTGTCCACACCACTGTTCAATGTCAACAGAACAGGTATTATATTTGTCAGAAAGACTTTCACATATGCAACTGAGGTGAAATTCATTTGAGCAATGCTGAAGTGGATTGCCTCCCCTTTCTTGAGCGGATGATCTATTACACAGAGGGCGCCACCGTAAGGCTTGACGAGACTTGCGCTTGTTGTGTCGTTAGAGATCACAATGTTTGGTCCCGAGGTCTCGCTGAAGGCAATGGTACGTGGAGCGTTCATTAAGAAGCCACATCCTTGGTTCTGGCTGGTCTCTGAAAACAAGAAGTTGCAATCTTGTCTTTAGAATCGTTTGAAAGTAACCTATGACATCCTACAAAAATTAACCCTAATTATTTCATATAACAATTTATCTAAGCAGTATTCAGATCATTACAGTGAGCATCATCGTGCACATTGAAAAAACCCCATCAAAAGCTGTTTCTCGAAAAACAATTCCTCGAATATATTTTTGCTTATGAATCTAACATTAGGGGGGTCAGGGCAGCCTGTAAACACTCGAATCCGGTCGAGTCAAGCAAGTGGTTGATAACAGGAACAATGTCCAAAACTTTCGGAGAACCATGGCACACCATTCACTAAGTCTACCCAATTGAATTTAGTCGCCTGTTACGGCAAGCAACATTGTAGTTGGTTGGTTGATTGTTCAACGTCGCACTCAGCAATATTCCAGCTATATGGCGGCGGTTTGTAAGTAATAGAGTCTGGACCAGACAATCCAGTGATTAACAGTATGAGCATCAATCTACGCATTGGGATACGATTACACGCGTCAACTCAGTCAGCGAGCCTGACCACGCGACCCCGTTAGTCACCTCTTACGACAAGCATGGGTTACTGAAGATCAATTCTAACCCTGATCTTCACGGATTTCATGCACACATGGGAAGAAATTGTTGCAGGGTGTAGGAAACGATCAGGAGGGATGGTACTCCTTCAGACTAAAGAAACAACTATGTCAGTTACACCATGGCTTGACAGCTATATGAAGAAGATATATCTAAGTCTCCGATGACATGACTTGATGCGTGCCCTATATACGACATGCACGACACCTCTTAGTAGGGGTGAAACGGTATACCGCGGTATTAGTAGAATTCGGTATACCGTAATGCAGTAAAAAACCCGCGGTATTTTCTGTTTTCGTACGGTCATTTTATTAACCTTTTTATAATTCTTCACAATGTCTAGAAATCGAAATTCTTTGCTGGACGGCCGCTATTTTCCCGGAAGTATGTTCTCATATACCGAACCGAAACGGACCGAACCGAAGGCCTTGTACCGCAATACGTACCATACCGTGGTAAGAGCGTACCGTTTCCCCCCTACTTGTTACCAGATCTTATGCGTCATAAAGACAATGCAATCTTGATGTCAGCTCCTGGGTACACGTAGTAAATGTACTTGAAAGTGTTTAACGCGGCTATAATTACGTTATTTCAGTCACATAAAGGCAGGCCGGTTATTTTGTATGATGAAAACTTTAACACTTTGGTGCCAACGATACCAGAGACATACTGGGAACCATTCTTAGATTCGAAATGATAACTATCGGTTTCCCGTAAGCTAACTGACACAGCTATAGCCGGCCTGTGTAGATATAGATGAATTCATGTACACACATCAAAGTCAAAAACAAAATATATATTAAAGATTACCTACCAGAATCTATCTTGATTTTCATATCGCCAGACTGAACATCCAGGCAAACCCATAGCCCCGCTCCTTTGCTCAGATGACGATGCTCAACAGTATCCACGAGTTCCTTCCCTTGGTGCACGGTCACCGTCTGGGCACTGGCTCTCTGAAGGGAGATAACCGTGTGGTCCTTTTTGAACCGGAAACGATGCCAGTGGACGCCATCTTGCAGCGAGCCACCATCACCCGTTCTGATCAGATCATGGGGCAGAGTTTGAAGAAGGCCGATTGCCAGGTGACCACTCCCTTGTACCGTTAGATTCACAATGTCCTCCTTTCAACATAGGCTTGTTGGTGATACACAATCCCTGGTGTTGTTTCAGAAGCCATGACGCTACCGAGTTGTTCTCGCTCAACACAATGTTGATTCCATGGTTTGATGAAAACAACATCGTGTGAACTCATATCACATTATTGCCTGCAAGTAGAGAACAGACAAAACTAATACAATGCTCCAGATATGTTTAGCCACTGAGTTGATAATTACTAAATTATAATGAAATGATATATAATAATTCTAATTTATTCTATAAATAATGTTTGTTTCTTCTATTATTCAATTTGTCTCACAGAGTCCAGTCTTACGAGCATTCCAAACCAGTGGGTGCGTAATATCATAAAATAATTCTTCTTAAAATGCTGTCAAGTTGCTCCTGTTCTTGACTAACATCTAGTCTTTGAAATGAACATACTAGTATAATATTTTACAGAAAAAACGGTTCATAAATAATAAATATAAAACATAATCAAAAGGAGCCTTGAGACTTTCTTCATTCTCCTGAAACTCTTGAAATCTAGACTTGCCACATATTCTAGACTTGCATGGGCTTTCTTGGATATAATTGTTTCAGGGTGTGTATGACAGACTACTCCTGTTCATGTGCTGCCCATATGTGTCACAAATACGATGTGAGGTGCATGTCCGAAGTGACAATATACGAATGCGCCTTATTCACTGCAGTAGAGTTCATGCAATGAATTACAAAATGGGTAATTACGATTAGTGTCAAGCAACACAAAATAAATAGGGTAAATGCCAATGTATTTAGGTATTTTGCACAAATACTCAGAGGTTCTGGGGCTCTGAACGTGTGCCTGTGCTTCGTCTCAAGAAGCCTTTCTAAAACGAATACCGATGTGGTGGGAGTATAGATTATCCTGTCGACTTGAAGTATTGGGCTTTTCGTGCACAGAGGATGCAAATGTGAAAATTGGCCGCCTTGGATCGTTCAAAGTCGAATGTCATATATCAATTTGTGACAATAAGCGTCTTACAGAGATAAACGTGTCGGACAGCTCAGTGCTCACGTGTGAATCTGAACGTGGGTAGGAATTCAAGGAGAATAGGTGACAACCATTTATAGCAATACTATTTTTATACTAACCTGAAGAAATGGAGTAGCTCTACTCTAATAGCATCTTCAAAGTACAAAATATCCAATTACGGCAAACACAAATGCCTAATTTTCTCAGTCTAAATTTGCCACATGATTCTAGACTTGAGTTGGATTCCTTTCTGACTTTATCCTCTCGGGTCTCATAATGAGTGAATAAAGTTTCACACCGCTTTTAGCAATATTCCAGCAATCTTCCAGCAATATCGCTGTTTTTGTGGACACCTGGGCTTCAGCCATTGCTAGGGTTTCGAAGTCATCCTGTACTATTTTAGGAAGTAAATATGTCGGGGTGCACATGTGAAATAGATGCTTAGCCCTTGGACGGCGCAGTTCATTTGGTTATAAAATTCCTTCTCTTCAGAGATAAGTGAGTTTGCATTTAGAATGTGCTCATAAATCATGCCCTTATCGCTCGAGCAATCTACACAATTGCGCACTGCCACAATGAATGTCATTTAACCTATAGCGTCATAATAAGCAGTTGTGATGTGAAAGACTGTTCCTTTCAGCACATAATGGTAGGTTTGTCGGCAGGAAAAAGCCAACGGACAAAACAGGTATTCTTCAGGGTCATATACGGATAAACATGCAAAGATCAAAGGTCAGGTATAGGCACTACGTTCAGAGTTTACAAAGAAAGATGACGCCATCGTCGTTAATCGGCGATCTGACTAAGTCGGATTTAACCATCAGGAATCTGACGAAGCTACAGGAATAATTATTATCATTATCAAAACAAATGTCAAAGAGACTGGAAGTCACTGCCTAGCTAATGTATTTTACAATGAGCTTTAGAAATAAAAAATGGAAAACAATTAGCGAGGACGTCTTTCTAGCGGAATGAGTTTTCACATCTCTGCTTGAAGACCTCTCGACTTGAGGCCTTTTCCTATAATTGAAACAATCGCATGGATATAGTCGTTTTCAGAAAGGGCAGTGAATCTGATGGGAGGATCGAAAGGCAAATATAAACTATCTGCGTATTATAGACTAAACAATTTGTATTTTGCCTGTACATACTTATGTGAGGTGAGGTGAAATTGGGTTTAACGTCGCGCTTGAAAATATTTCGCTCATATGACGACGTGCATGCGTGTGTATGTGTAAGTGGGGCTGCTTGTATTAGCCCAGACTGAAGGAGGTTTTTTATAGTGCTAACCCACTGAGATACCATGCCGCAGTGACCAGTCCTTGGTGTACCCATTAATGCCGAGCGCCAGGCAGGGACCAACAAGTACCATATTTTAACGTCTTATGACGCGACCTTCCGCTCTCCGGGCGGACGCTCTAACCACTACACCACGGAGGCGGTCCTGTACATACTTAGGCCACAGACTAAGACACAGATTTTCAGTTTGCTGCATTAACTGCTGTCACTGTTCGACTGACAGAATACTGATCTTATACAGTAAAATATGTAACAATGCGCATATTCCCAGGAAATGGAACTTGCGGGAATGACAAGTCATTATGTGATAATTAGATGCTCACGTTTGAGTGTTTTGGGATGGTAACTACCTCCGCTATTTTTGCATGTTGTAAGAAGCGACTAACGGGGTCGAGTGTTCAGACTCACTGACTTGGTTCAAGCATTTGATCGTATCCCAAACTATCGATGCTCATAACAGCCATCACTGGATTGTCTGATCTGGACTTGGTTACTAAGCTTAGATATTGCAATGCGACGTTAAACAACAACACATGAATCAAACCATGGATTACTCACAAAAGCCCGTCTTTGATAAATATTTGCATCCCTAGTTGGTGTGAACATATGTTCAGATGGTATCTGACGTCGAGTTTCCATTTCCAAGTGCATGTTTCCTGAAGGCAACGGTAACGTATTTCAAATGTGACATATTATTTCATACTTATTTCAAAGTGGTCCGATGGCACTCCAGTTCAAAGGACTTTCTACCCTGTATTGCGAAAGTATCGGCACTTTTGTTTTATAGTTTGCAATGCTGTTGTCATCCCTGCTTCTAATAAACCATGACGCGGCCAAGGGACTTTGGGTTTGAACAAGATTCCACTATATTATGCTGGTCGAGAGCGGCACTCAAATTTACCACATGGTTTATTTCGTGTCTTTGTATCTGGACGGATCGTTGCTCTCAATACCTCAAATGTCCACACTCGATTATAAAGGCTACGGTCATGACCTTGGGTCGATGTCAAACACTGAAATTGTATTCAAAGTATTGCTATAAACCGACCGACAATTACAATGCATCGATCCTAAGCCAGTAAAAATCATTACAACAAACGACGAATAACGAAAGGTAATAACGAATTCAAAGGGATCACCACATTTAGTTCGTTATAACCATTGTCCGTTATATGCATTTCGACTAAAATGTACAGCATGGTACGGAAGCCCCAAACCAGTTCGTTATATCTTTCAGTTCGTCATAAGCATGTTCGTTATAAACGATATTTATGTCCAAATAATGGCTGCCAAATAAACAATTAAATCTTGGTTCCTTCGAGTAGTGATTATCGCTGAAGTTAATGATAAATTTATAGTTTCTTCAAGCTGGTGGGCGGTGGGGTGGCCTAGTGGTTAAAGCGTCCGCTCGTCACGCCTAAGACACGGGTTCGATTCCGCATATGGGTACAATGTGTGGAGCCCATTTCTGGTGTCCCTCGCCGGGCTGGAATATTGCTAAAAGCGGCATAAAACCATACCCACTCACTCACTCACTCTTCAAGCTGGTCCTAGTGAAGGTGATTATAGGTATAAGGAAAGGTGTCATGCATTTCCTTCCCGGTAAGTGACAAACACTGACACTTTGACATACAGGAATGAGTACATGTAGCTCACCTTCCACGGTGGATATTTGTTGCAAAATTGGATACATGTCAAACAGCTTTACATAAACAGATAGGCAGTTCTATGACCGACACCTCTTTATGAATTTGATTTGGCTTCTGAGACAAAAACCTAAAATGCAATGTTACTCGACGAAAGGCGATTAATTAATTATGTGAAAGGAACATGGCCAAGACGCACAGACGCGTAATACATGTTTTGTATACACCTTATGTTTGTCAGGCGATACTGCTCGCTAGCCACTGATGTCGAAATACATAACCACATTATTGTGTTGACAAAACAACGATTAAACCGAAGGAGAAATCGGGAATTTGATTTGAAGCGGATCCTGGTCTGACAAATGGACGCAGCTCCGCACAACGACATATTGATTGCCATCATTAAATAGACCTTCATATGTAGAGTCTTAACCTGAACTCACATCCGATGGGCGAGTGACTAAGTAAATTTTGTTCAATGCCATCATCACCAATGTGTGCCGTTATAGCACGGCTGTCCGGAATTCATCCACCATTGGCAGTGTTAAAAAGTCCCAAAATTCCAAGCCAGACAGCCGGACTGGTAACTTTAATAAAGTCCGGATACACACTTGCCAGTCCGGTTTTCAACAATGAAAACCAAAATCAGGTTTCTGAATACTTTACTGTTTGCAAGCATCGCAATGAACAACATAGCACAAACAGGCAATGCAAAGAGTTTAGGTAAACTGAAAGTACATGTGTTGTGATTGGTTATTGTAAAATGAACTGTCCAGTCGTAAATAGTTTAACATAATGATCATAATACCTTAAACACCTCAAACTGACGACAAGAGAACCTGTCTGATATTATGAAATATTTTCTGTTAGGGGTAAAAACATCTACCAGACCACCGGACAGGCTACTTTTGAAAGTTTACCGTCCGAGATGAAAATAGACCCGGGCAGGCGGGAATTTCAAACACTATACCATTGGTTCGTACCATGTGTTATCATGAGGAGTCAGGGAGCTATAACTCCTCCCACATCCCCTTGAATCCTCATGGCACCAAAAACAGGTATAACTACAGGAGAACTAAACCAACGCTTCCCTGTATTTCACAATTTAGTATCCAAACAATGTAGTTTACTGTACCTTAAAATTGAAAATATTTCGATGGTTTAAGCATCGCATAAAACATTGAATAAGTCTGAAATTAACACAATAACATCATTGTCACTGACCCTTTTCTGCAGGCGTTCGTACAAAAAAAACATATACGCTGTAGCTAAAAAAAACACGGATACGTAAATAATTGAAAATCATGAACTAATAATGTTTTAGGGTGTTTTTTTTAAAAGATGGTTTTACGGTTGTTTTTTAAAAAAATACCCCGTAAAATCATCTCGCAGGATGTATTTTTCAACAACCAAAAGAAAAAGCTATTTTTTCTCAGATATTCTCATGGATAATCTTTTTATCTTTGGAGGGCGGGGAAGGGGGAGTAAAGAGGTGAACAAAAACACGACTGAGATCAATATCTTGCCTTTACAATATTAGTAGCGTCATGTTTTTCTGCAGTTGTCCCTGGGTGTGAAGTCAGGGGCCAAAGTAATTAAATTTCATCCTATTGTATGCAAGTGCGTATTTCGAAAAGTCCCAAATTCCGTTTTCTGAACATGCCGCGAATCAGGAAGTTGAATGACTCAGTGTCACGAGGAATCAATAGTAACGAGTCACATGAAATGACCTGATGTGTAATTACGTGCAACTGACACCCATCCATACCTTGCCCCAGGGTCTACCACATTACGTTTGGGTAGTGGCACCCACTGTATGATTAAACACGTACATGAAGTGGCATTCCTGCTAAATAGTTGCCTGAATACATTCTCGACTAATTATATGCTATCTTTATCCCGACTTCTCATATGAACGACCACGTATACATGTATATGATATAGTGTAAAACAATTAAATACGAGAAATATTATATCATGAATTAGGCCGCCTCCGTGGTGTAGCGGTTAGAGCGTCCACCCGGAGAGCGGCAGGTCGCGGATTCGATCCCCGACCGCATCATACCAAAAGACGTTTGAATATGGTACTTGTTGGTCCCTGCCTGGCGCTCGGCATTTAATGGGTAAACCAAGGACTGGTCGGCTCGGAGTCAGTATAATGTGTCTGAGTGGGGTATTCATGCTTCACTGCGGCATGGTATCTCAGTGGGCTAGCACTATAAAAACCTGCTTCAGTCTGGGCTAGTACAAGCAGCCGCACATACACATACACACGCATGCACGTCGTCATATGAGCCAAATATTCTCAAGCACGACGTTAAACCCAATTTCACCTCACCTCACCAATATCATGAATTATCACATGAACGAACAAGTACAATGTTATAGTGTAAAACAGTTAACTGCGAGAAATAAATGTATATCCAAAATTATCACACGAATGAACACGTATATATGTCATAGGGTTAGCAATAATTAGATACGAGAAATATATACCGAATTATCACATGAACGAACACGTATCCATGTTAGAGTGTAAAATAAAAAAATTAAATAAGAAAAGTATTTTTACACACATCTCTTCCAACATGACAACATAAAACGCTGCATCAGATAGTCTTCACGCTGCAGTGGGTATGGTTATATTTACATATCACAGCCAGCATTGATATATTCTTATATATGACTATACACTCGCTCTGCAAACAATTGATTGGTGCCTGAACAACAATAAATACGGTTAATGGGAATTCCAGGTGTCATAATTAAATATAAATACCTGTCAGCGCTATCGATACATCACGGGAAAAGTTGAATTCGATTACTCCATATATAGATTAGTTACTGTCAATATGTAACCCATGCTTGTCGTAAGAGGACACTAACGGGATCGGGTGGTCAGACGCGCTGACTTAGTTGACACATGTCATCGAATCCCAATCGCGTAGATCGAAGTTCATGATGTTGATCACTGGATTGTCTGGTCGAGGCTCGATTATTTACAGACCGCTGCCATGTAGCTGGAATATTGCTGAGTGCGGCGTTAAACAAGAAACATGCAGTCGATATACATGTATACAGAAAATAATATGAATTTAACATATAGGACTATAGAATCATGACATTGTCTAAACTGTTATAATTACAATTCGTATTCTGATCATATTTAATATAATATTGGATTAAAACTGATTACATCTTTTTCAAAAGTATAAAAAAAAAAATCCGACGGTGCGTCTTTAAGGCATTCATAACAATGAATCATCGGTCCCGATCTTATGATAAGGACGAGCCTAGGCTACAAAGTAACAGTTATGCCTGCCGTTCTATACTTGCTCATAACATTGCCTGTGAAGCATGTACCCAGGTTTAAACACTGGCGCCGAATCCTACAAATGAAAGGTGTTACACCGTATCCCTTTCACTGAATAACAGCTATGATTTGTACGGTGGCAACCACGTGTGGTCCGCTCTCGCTCGCTTCAGCCAGACTGTGTGCCATTAGACATTATATGCACGCATGATCCGTCGCGAAGTGATTATCGCAATACGGGAGAATTCTATCTGATACACTTACCTTATGGAGCCAGGAGTCATCTATAGTCGTGCTGCGGTTTGACCACCACGTCGTTACATTGTCACAGGATTAAATTCGCGGATATTCACTCTAAATAATTGTTGATATTCGCTCCAGTATCATTTCCGGGTTGCTCTCGTCGAAGTGGATAATCTCCCTTTGGTCCGGTCGTTCCGCATCGTTAAGTAGCTAGGCTACCGTTTAGCTAGCAAAGTGATCGCTATGCAGAAAATGTTATTCCGCTTTTTCTGACAACTTGCGTTGACAGGAGCGAAATATTTGGGGTCGTACTGTCAGAGAAATCCAACAACTTCCTCTTTTTAGAGTTTGTGTGTAGCGTTTACCTTGATTGAGTTTACAGAGCAAATGGCAGTGATGAAATATTGATTTTTTTTAAAAGTAGAAAATTTTCCGTTTGCAATGCAATAGAACAATTTCCCTTCTGATTTACATTTAATTTGATGTCTTATTATACAAATATTTAGATTTAATTGGAAGTATGGATTTCATTCAAAATATTTCATTGCAATTTTGTACGTGCATTAATGCACGCTGTGCGTGGAGTGAAAGAATTAAAGCAATGCTCGAGAGGCATATGCATGCATGAAAGCGATCTCATCGATCACGTATTCATTAAGAGGGTTGTTATCGATCTAACTGTTTATAAATAGGAAATGGTATTCAGTGTTGAGGCCACCACCCCAGCAGATATTCTTTGAAGTGTTGAGGAATATTGGAAACTTGTAAACGTCTCGTGTTTCAACACAGATCACGAAAAGCGTGGATTTGCAGTTGTAATCTAATCACCATTTCTGTTTTCATCAATTGAAAACTGGGTAGGTACCATGCCGAGAGGTAGGTCCGGCAATTTAAAAAGGAAGAAGGGGTTGGGTTGACCTTGGTGGATTGATTTATTTATTTATTTATTTATTTATTTATTATTTATTTATTTATTTATTGCGGAGAATAGAAGTTGTGATGTGTAAATAATTTTAAAATAAAACACCTCAACTAAACCCTAAAACAACCACCACCATCCCGCCCCCTAAAAATCAGTAAATTTAATAAAATAAGCAATAATAATTAAATCAGAATTAAACACAAAAAAACAACAACAAAAACCCAGCAATGTCTAACGACAACGTGTGTCTCTCCAGTACGTGGTGTGGTATGGTGTTTGAAGTATGGTGAACTTGGGCACCACAGTTCACACGGGCCGCTGGGGCTGTGACGCTTCCAATATTTCCCTTCCCTTCCTATGCTTCATACATAAATATGTCGTGATCATGAATTTCCCTCAGTAATAGGGAAAACAATAGTAGATATATTTTGTCACGAACATTTGAACTGGTGTGACCCTCCTCTCATAGCCCCGGCCTACACATTCCTCCACCAAATAACCGCTCCCGAACAACGCTTTGACGGTGGGTGGCCAATGACATGGCATACCAGGTATGTATAGAGAGCTACAGTCCCGTCCACACTGACGTTTAGCCATATCGAGGTTATTGTACAAAAACGGGCACTTGAGAATAATAAAGGAAAACGTCGACCCATGATCATTTATAACCGGATCAATTGAGAGAAACAGCTTTTTCTTATAACGAGGTATGAATGGTATAGTTACTCGTTATAACGGTCGGTAAGTAGTAGAACACGAATGCAGTGTTGTGCCCAGGTGCCCAGGGGAAGTTTTAATGACAAAAGAATATTAAAATCCTGAAATTCGATCGCGTAAACATTTGAAAACCTTCCTATAATCAATACCTTAGAAGGAATTTCCGGAAAAATATTGACATAAAATCACGTTTCTCAAGGTTTAGTTTCATCTATAAAATCAATATTATGTCCTTGTTTATAAGCTTGGTTTATAGTTCCTTGTCTAATTTATAATTATGTTTATGGCATGATATTTTCCGTCACGATATTCTGAATCAACATCCGTTTGCTGGTTTTCGTTCCGTGCACTTACCTACCCATATCTATACTGAAAAAAAATATTTAATGTATTAAAGCGTCTGGCCGTATTGTTTGTTTGTTTGTTGTTTAACGCCGCACTCAACAATGTTCAAGCTATATGGTGGCGGGCTATAAATAATCCAGTCTGGAACAGACAATATAGTGATATAACGATCATGCGTATCGATCTACGTAATTAGGATTGATTCAGGTAATTAGGATAAGATGTCACGTGTCAATAAAGAATGACCACTCGATACCGTTAGTTCCCTCTTAACCCGTGAAGGTCCGGGTTAGAATATTGATCTTCAGTAACCCATGCTTGTCGTAAGAGGCGACTAACACATGTCATCGTATCCCAATTGCACAGATCGATGCTCATGCTGTTGATCACTGGATTGTCTGGTCCAGACTCGATTATTTACAGACCGCCGCCATATAGCTGGAATATTGCTGAGTGCGGCGTAAAACTAAACTCACTAGTTTCCTCTTACGACAAACATGGGTTGTCGAATATCAGGTGTATATGGGTCTCTGGCAGGATTAGTTTGACACCACACTGATTTTTTTATGACTGATAAAACGTGCTATTGCTCACATGTGGAGGATATTTCTGCATTTGATGAATAAGGTCCGATGCAATTCCCTGCAAGCTTTGCCTTGAACTATGTGTTGCTGTGATCTTTCAAGTGCGGAATATTGACTTACCTCGCTTGTGTTTGTGATGGACGACACCTTTTCCGGAATACATGCTGTCATCATATATGTTCCAGAGATTCATTCACACATGCTCATGAGGCAGTCAACCCGTGATAATCCGGGTTAGAATTGGTCGTCAGTAACCCATGCTTGTCGTAAGATGACGGCGAGTAGCTTACATGTGTCCACCAAGTCAGCGAGCCAAACCATCGATCCTCATAGTCGCCTCCTACGATTATTAATCTAGGCATGGGTTGCTGATAATAATAGACTAAGTCCATTTACCATGCACATTTCTCCACGCATAATGCATGCTCGAAGCGCCGTAAAATCTGATTATTATCACCCCGGATAACCCAAGCTGCCTGTTGCGCTTGAAGGTTAATAGTCACATTACCTATCCCACCGGGTACCCATTTTTCTGCCGGGTACCAAATATGACCCGCATCTCTTTACACATCAGGACATATACTTGGGTATCGTCTTCAGATAAAGCAGTGTCTGGGTCAAAGTATTGACACGTCACTATATGGAAGTGGAACTGACATCTTCCTTCGCAGTAGACGTCGACTGTTATGCAGGTAAATAATATATAAGCTGAAAAGAAAATATATATGGAGATTTTATTGTGTTGAATTGTATTTTACTGTTGAACAGAACGAAGCCCAAAACACCTTATCCGTGAAGAACCAAGTTAGAATTGGTCTCCAGCAACCCACGTTTCGTATTTGAATAAATCAATGCTCGTGATGTCAATCAGTGGATTGTTTGGACCAGACTCGATTATTTAGACTGGAGCCACATAGCTGGAATATTGCTGAGTGCAGCGTTAAACAACAAACAAACCACATAACCTAACTGTTCCTGAAACTGTTGAAATCGTGTGACTTTTCTGACAATTTGGATTCCATAGTCTATATGACAGACTACTCAAAAACACAAAATTATCTCGATGCCAATGTCAGTTTGAGATATACTACTCACACTTTGCAAAGGATCACAAAAATTCACAACTTTACTTAAACGTAGATTCATAATTTGAAATTGTATCCATTTAAAACTGGCTAAATAATAATATGGTAACCCCTCTTTAGGCAAACAGCCACTTTAATCTAACCTTATGCACTTGATACATGAGTAACCATAAAATGGTTTTCAAGGCACCATTCAACCATTTTGCATATCATGGAACGAGTCATTGACAAGTACACAACACCTGTCAATAGCAGGTAGGGGATCCACAAGATGAAATGACATACTGGAACCTAGGATCCATGCTTACAATAAGCTTAGATATTCAAACCAAATTTGACACCACATCATAGTTTTCTGTTTAATCCATGATTTGATCCTTAGCAAAGTGTGAATAGTATATTTGGATGTAGAGATTAAGGTTGGAAATCAATATGGCTATAACAAAATACATGGAAATGTCGTCTCTGGAGCAGTGTGGATTGAAAGCTGCAGCAGGCAGATCACTAGTCTGTCTCAGTCCCTGAAAACATTATTTTCCCTACAACCTAGCCCACTCCGCAAAGCTAAAGCCCTAAAGGAAGCAAGTCTCATCCTCACTGGGGCTCCTTTTCAATTTAAATGGGCTTATATTCCGAGACTAGGCGTTAGTCTAGCAGATCGCTGACTGCCCATACAGCCACCCTGTCTGATCACGAATGCAGGGCTCACTGTTGTATTGACACAGATAGAGTGGGGGATTTGTTTACTTTGATTTCAGCTCATGATAAAGGTTATTCATGGACGGTTCTCATACGATGTGTGTCCTGATATTGACTTACAGTCTTGCGTGCTGAAAGAAAAATATTGATTGAGGGCTTTTTTGTCAGCCATGAATATGCACTAATGAAAATGGAATATTTTACGGGCGGTTCTTTCGTTTTTCATCCTCGAAGACGCCTCTTGGTTAAAGGTGCGGTGACGCAGCACAGACGTTGACGCATTCGTTCATCACGCGAACAAACATGCTTGTAGTTTACGGCTACTAATTGTCCCTGACTTAAAAATATTCGAATATTGCTAAAAGTTGTGAAACCTAATAGATAAAGCTTTCGCTCACGCCGAAGACCCGGGTACGATTCCCCACATTGGAACAATGTGAGAAGTTCATTTCTGTTGGAATAGTGGAAAAAGCGGCGTAAAACTAAACTCACTCACACACTTTCTGCCCGGGTTACTCATCCCACGGCGAAATGTTGCTGATTATATATATATATGTATATATTGCTAAATGCGGCGTAAAATCATACTCACTTGTTGTTTAAGGCGCCTCTATTCTTTGTGCAAAGACGCTTCCTTTACCCGAACTTCAAGTCCCAAATTTAACCCAATTAACGTCGGTGTTCACGGGTTTCATGAAGGTGGTAAACGTCCAAGATGCCGCGATATACGCCGTGTGTGTAACAAGTCCAGATTACCGCAGAGTCTCTGGGCTCCTTACTATATTTTGTCAAGATAATTTATGGAACTGTGTCTGTAA